TGTTTAACTCGAATTTTGCAACAATAGGCTCCGTTCTTAACTATCTTAACTCATCCTTAAACCGGACGTTCTTAACCCAGGGACTCCTTTGTAGTTTAGACATTCTACAAAATAGAGGATGTGCAGGTTTAGCGGTGCACATGTCTTTAACAGCTGACACAAAAGTTCTGCCACTCCTTCTAGTATAGTTTTGCTAAGGACAGGCAATTCTTAAACATGTATAGCTTTGTTTTTCCTTTCCCCAAAATTTTTATTAAGGGCTAGGTGGGTTCCATGTAGTCTGACTGACTTCATTGGATTGTTCCAGGTAATCAAATAACTTATTTATTGTACCTATAGCCACTCTTTTCAGAAAGCTTTAAACTGCTTTAAACATCTAGGCAGACTTCTACCTAAGCAATAACCAAGCAGAAATCTGCTTTACTTTAATAATATGATGCCATGTCCTTTCAATTATATGGGCCAGCAACGCTGGACCTGTGTTTTAGCGTTCTAGATGTGACAGTAGCTTGCTGTGACTATTGAAGAAAGAAATTATTGGAGGATAAATAACAGCTTTAGAAAAGCTGTGGTGAAAGTGGAAGAGCTATGGAAAGTGATGGCCATCTTAATCTTTCCACAATACATTTATGGAAATATATTATATTGCCTGTCCAATATTTTTTCTTTTTCCTGTTGTAGATTTCTAGACTTGCTTTTTCTTAAACTGTGGGTGACAAGAAAAACTGGAATCCCATGAACATCTTTACTTTAATCCATGAGTGTTTCTTTGGGTCAAATTAGTTTGAAGTCAGCATTCCAGTCCCCGTATCCTTTCTGCTCTTTGTGACAATAATAGGTTCAGTATATTAATTATGATTTTTCTGCTCTAATCATCTACAGATGTATTGACTTTCATAAGCACGCACGCACACACAAATGCCGACATGCACACATTCTTTCCTCTGAATGAAATGCTTTTTCTTATTGGTTCTAAACTTTCTGTAAAAGCTGTTCGCTACCTAGAAATTACTTGTATGTGATATCTGCATGTAGGGTGTGTAACATGCTTTCTTTCACATACTTTCTGATTCTCTGCAGTGCTGAGACTTCTGGAACTTGTATGCTGACCTAAAATTCTATTGCCTAATTCTTCCCCTCTTAAGAGTATAGAAAAATGCAGGCCCAGATGAATTCCTGTCTGCTGACAGCAACTTAGTGAGGAAAGGACAAGGCTCCTAAGAAACTGGAGCAACCCGTAGCTTTCGTTTTTAATGAAATAATCTATTTGACTTCTATGTGCACTTTTAAAAAATCTGCCTATATCACTAAAATTTGTTTTTTGATTAAGTGTAACAGTATGAAGTTTAACAAGAACCATCTGTCAGTTTGGAAGGAAATTGTTTCTTATTTTTTTCACACTCCTATTAAAAGATTATTTCAAAACCAAAATTGCTTCTGAAATAAAACATTTCTCACTGTTGAATTTGCTCAAAGACTTTGTTGATTATTCTGGTGACTTAAATGATAATGATTATTTTTGGGCATCTAGCCATTGATTCACTTGGTTTTTTGGTTAGATTTGAGATCATTCTTCTATTTATTGTGATGTGATTATTTTCACTAGATGTGTGCTGTGTGTAAAGAAGATAGTGTTGGGAAGTGTGTGTATATATGTGTCTATTTGGGCCTTCTCTTTTACTACAGCCAAATTATTCAACTTTTTTAGGATTACCAAATGCCAGATGAAATTGCTATATTTTCTGCGAAAGGATCGAAATAGGAATTTTTAAAAAATACTGTGGATGCTAACCAGGGGATCCTTTGGGATCATATATCCAGAATCTTTGAACTTTGGATAGATGGACATGTTGTGGAACTATTTATTTCTTAACAACCAACGTTACTTATAAGTAAAGAATTTTGAGTCAGAGTATATTCAGTTCTAATTCTTAAAATAGAACTTTCACACTGCAAATGTGTTCCTGGTACTCTTATATTTAAAAGATCTGAGATAGAATTTTATAAAAGATCTGAGATAGAATTTTATATATATATATATA